CCTGTTCTTAATTGCAATGTGGTCATTAAAAGTGTGACCATGTTTAAAAACAAAAAAAAATTAATAGCATTTTCGGGGCTTATTCGAACTTTTATAAAATTACACACAGTTCGTAAAAAATAAGTCTTTTCGCGCTTCTTCTGTGCCCACTGAAAATAATTTGAAACTCAGTCTAGGAATTCCAAAATATTCGGAATACTTTTGTTGTGATCCTTACTAATTGCTTTTCCTTCCGTGTTTTGATGAGAACAGCAACCGATTTAGAAATTGATGATTAATGTCAATGAATTATGTGACAGGAATATATTTTAAAAATGAAATTTAATGCACTTATTTTTCGCCTTTTATACGTTCTGCTGATATCTCCAGGTAAGTGACAAAAGTTGTTACTAGACGGTTTGAGATGACTCACCCCACCCACTGAAAATGAAATTAAAAAATTTCCAACAATTTACCTGTCCAGTTGTGGCGTAGTTAGTACTGTTTACAGCGAAGTTCTTATAGACTGTTCTAGAAGATAGGAAATGTATGAAATGTTTTATAGGCTGTCATAGAGAAACATATTTTAGTGTCAAAAATATCACAATGTATCAAACTACATTTTGTAGATCTATCATGGTTTTAAAAAAATAATTTATGAGCTAAATTAAGATCTAATATTTCCCACGGTAACCAGGCTCCTGTTGCTATGGATGGAGGTAATTTGAACATGTGCTGATTTACTTTAATCTGCCCTGTCTGTACGGGGAAGTCAAGGCTTTGGCTTGTGCCTAGTCCTAATATGAAAAAGGCAAAGCCTCAAAGCGAGCTCGATATATGTTCTTTTTACTTGAAATAGTATGAAATAATCGCTCATTTTTATTTCAAATGCATTGACAAGTGCGTGTGAAGTCACACGTACTGTGTTAAATATGGCTCCGCCCCTGTCGTGAAATGAATAACGAGTTTTGAAAACGTTGATAAAACTTTGTTTATTTTATTTCACTCTATAATTTTTCAAGCGAAATAAAGATTATTTAAAGTGAAATAAATGTAAAAGTTAAAACGTTTGCGACATTAAAATAGCGTACTTGATCAATTTGTTTGTTTTGCAAGTGCTGTTTGGCGCTACATTGTGACATCACGTAAACAATACTTTAAACGTCTGTACAGCGTTTACGACTGAATAAAAGATATTGGTGTTCAGATTCATTTTCTTAGTTAGACCATTTTCTTTCATTCTAGATAGTTTTCACCACAAAATTCGACAAAAAATTGTTTTTATTTATCAGATTTCAAACAAAATGGCGCCTTCGATTTTCATTTTTTATACACAGCTTCCGTTATTCTGGTTCCCTTTCCAATTATGGTTCCCATAGGCGTATGCGGGTGACCAGTCTACACATCCGTTTTCAGTCAGAATTCCTCAGTTTTTATCGTTATCTTTAAATTGGAAAGGTTGCGATGTGTCCGATTCGGTACTTTGGACGAAAGTTTTCAAAACCATCACTTAGCAGGTACTCGCGTTACCGTAAAGCTCGCTTTGCGAGCAGGCCCTTCGGGCCAGCTCGTTGAGCTCGCTATAAATATGACGTCGCTTTGAGATATTTTTGCTTCTGGACAAAGTAACGGTCAGGCTTGACCGACATAAACTATATCAAGCCTGTATTGTCTGATACTAGTTTGTGCTGAGCAATAGACTACATTTGTATACTTTAAAGGAATTTGAATACACAAAAATTTTAAAAAATATATAGATTTCTATATTTATTAATGAAATTTTCAGTGTCGTTTCTAGACAAGCGCCGCCATTTTTAATATAACTCAATGATAATAGACAGGGATATTCCTATAAGGGAACAATCACAACTTTTCGGCTTAAGAATGATTGTGTTCCGTCTGAAAACATAACTTGATAAGCAGTGCATGAAATACCGAAATGACACCTTAAAAATCAAAAATATAAAATAAAAATGAACAAAAGGTTTTTATCTGACTCCTGTTCATAATTTCATATTAGGTGTCATTAAGCATGTAAAGTAGCACATGTTTGGATTTGCGTGATATCAGCAGGGAAACCCAGATGCAGTGTCAAGTAGCGGCAAGGAGAGCAATACATTTCAAGTAGGACAAGCAAACTTTTGAATGATAATGCATGTAAACCCATAATAAAATACAATTTACAAAAAAAAACAAAAAACTAATAATAACTTGTTAGCAAATTTTATCATATATTTAATCACACACTCTACCATCAAAGATTCTCTAAAGCAGGCCATTTATTCTGTATTAATACAGTTTACTAATAGATTTAAAATGAAAAATAAACAAAAATCTAATTATAGAGCTTTATAGTGATTTAGCTTGAAATATGACTATAAATTATAACTACAAATTATCACTACAGCGATATTACTACATGTATATCAGCTTTCACATTAATTGACTTTGAAATACAATCTCTGTCAGATCCCTGGCATACTGTTTAAATCTCGGGATTATTCCCGACCAGTTGACCACTGATGTGACATGTGACGATGTTGTATAAATTATCTTTTCTATTGATATTGGTTACAGGGCCTTCCCCAGAAATATCTGTAAGAGCAACTTGGAGGGGGTGGGTGTGGGAGGGGGGCATGTCGAAAATTTTTTGAAACCTTACAAAGGAATGGTGTATTTTGGTGCATATTTAATGGGTTATTGCCTTACTAACATGTTTTACTGACGATTTTGTCAACTTTCCTTCTTGAATTAAGTTTTAAGAGGTCAGTAATAATAAATTTACACATTGACCACAACTAGACTAGTTTACTTAAAATTTAATTTCAATTATTTTTATGCCCCCGCCATGTAATGGCCGGGGCATATAGTGTTACCCTGTTCCGTCATTCCGTCCTTCCGTCCTTCCGTCCTTCCATCCTTCCGTCCTTCCGTCCTTCCGTCATTCTGTCATTCCGTCATCATCAGTTTCCGTTCATTATCTTAAGAACGGTTGCACACATTCAAGTCAAATTTGACATATGGATATGTCATGAGAAAATACAGGTCAAGTTCGAATTTGGTCATGGTTCGATGATTTTTGGCAGAGTTATGCCCCTTTTACTTTGAAAATAATATGAAATTTCAGTTTCCGTTCATTATCTCCCCAACGGTACAACACATTCAACTCAAACTTGACATATATATATGTCATGAGAAAATACAGGTCAAGTTCGAATTTGGTCATGGTTCGATGATTTTTGGCAAGGTTATGCCCCTTTTACTTTGAAAATAATATGAAATTTTCAGTTTCCGTTCATTATCTCCCCAACGGTATAACACATTCAACTCAAACTTGACATATGGATATGTCATGAGAAAATACAGGTCAAGTTTGAATTTGGTCATGGTTGGATGACTTTTGGCAGAGTTATGCCCCTTTTACTTTGAAAATAATATGAAATTTTCAGTTTCCGTTCATTATCTCCCCAAAGGTACAACACATTCAACTCAAACTTTACATATGGATGCGTCAAAGAAATGCGCAGGTCAAGTTCAAATTTGGTCATGGTTCAATGATTTTTGGCAGAGTTATGCCCCTTTCACTTTGAAAGTAATATGAAATTTTCAGTTTCCGTTTATTATCTCCCCAATGGTACAACACATTTTACTCAAATTTGACATATGGATATGTTTTTGGAATGCCCAGGCCAAGTTCGTATTTGGTCATGGTTCAATGATTTTTGGCAGAGTAATGCCCCTTTCACTTTGAAAATAATATGAAATTTACAGTTTCTCTTCATTATCTACCCAACAGTGTTACATATTCAACTTTAATTTGACATATGGATATGTCTAAGGAATGGGCAGGTCAAGTTGGAATTTGGTCATGGTTTGATGATTTTTTGGCAGAGTTATGTCCCTTTCACTTTGAAAATAATATAGATACATCTTAGGAATAAGCAGTTTAAGTTTGAATTTGGTCGTGGTTCAATGATTTTGGACAAACTTATCTTTCCTGAATGTTGGAAAAATTTTGAACTTTCAGTTTCAGCACTCATACTTTTAGCCATTATTTTGGCTACAAATATGCAATATGCTATTTTTAAAAAGTTAAGACTGAATAATTTCAGTGCCTTGAACATTGTATGAAAATGGTTTTTGTTAACATTGAAAAGTTTTAAGGGCTTTTGAACTTAAAATGAAAAAAATAATTAATGCACCATCTGAAATTTTGGCTGCATGCGGGGGCATCCGTGGCATGATGACACTTTTCTAGTTTTTTATATTTTACCATCTGGAGACTTGTGGCTTTAAAGTGCTGACGGAATTTTAAAGCATCTCAGGTTTTTAGACTTTGAAATTTAAGTGCATTGGTGCGGGTGGGCTAAAAGGGTCTAGTGAAATCCCTGGAGATGTGATGAACTGATTGACCTCAGATTTAAACAAAGTATTTGACAAGGGTTTTTCAGTGTTGTATAATTATACACATATACAAACATCAAGAATGGTTTCTTTATATTACAATGATAATAAAATTCTAAGGGAGATTTAAAAAAATTGATTCGGTCAGAGGTATCATAATCATGGAAAACTAAACGTAATGTTTGTCAGAATACTGATGTTAGCATCATTCCTGATTATTTATTATTGTTTTAAGGGGGCATCTGTGGCCGAGTGTTTTAAGGGGGCGTCTGTGGCCGAGTGTTTTAAGGGGGCGTCCGTGGCCGAGTGTTAAGGGTCTTTGTTTTCAAACAAATTAACTGTCACCATTTTAATTTCGAGCCATGCAAGCATCATCAGATTCTACATGTGAGAAATCTATCCTGCTCGCTTTAACGCTCTGTCAGCGGTTCTACTCCAGTGCCTTTTTGTGCCTGAAATAATGTACAGAGGGGCATCTGAGGTCTTCCTCCACAAGTAAAGCCAGAAAGTTACCATATGACCTAAACTGTGTTAAACAGTGTTGGTGCAATGTAAAATTCAACCAAAAAAATTTTTTTTAAAATATTGGCATAATGTCTTAGGCTGTAACTGTGCAACTTGACAGCATCTTTTCACCTAGTTATGAATACTTACTAAAAAGCAATTTTTTTTCTTTTTCAAAGGTCATTTTAAATTATTTTACATGTTAAAACTGAAAGAATTAACACAAGATGTAAGTTATGTTTTTAATTTTTTATGGCCATACATACTATCTATAGATAGATGAAAGGTTGATAAGGCTATTTCGCCAAGTGTCTAGGGGATATCAAAGTGTGACCTTGTATGTGTGTATTTATTATAAGGGTCAAATCCACAATTTAGGCACAAGAATTATCTTTTGCTATAAAGTACAGACCCTACATATGTGATCCGTCATGCCTTTAATACAGGTTTAATTTTGAAGTATAAAGTAGTGTTAATTTATGATTTTACAGTTTTGACATTCACAAAGTATTAGACAAAGAAAAGAATTTTAAGTTGAAAGGTCAATGTACAGCATTTAGTCAAATTAGTGAGTACATAGAATACCTAAACTTACAGTACAGTTAAGAAAGTAGGACTAGGTCTCTGTTAAGCGGATAGAGTACTGTTTAGTTACAAGTAACTTCCAGGTTTCCTTATATCTAGATTTCCTGCTAGACTTCCTGCTATATCAACTTCCTGCAGAATCATCTAAATGTACAGTACTGTAAAGTTAGTTTTATTTTATTTTATAGAAAGTAAATATTTAGTATTATGTCCAGGTAAATTTTTCTGAATCAGTCTTTGCTGGAAGAATCATTGCTGACTTTACCAGATTACAATAGCCGCCATATAAGTTAAACTTGAAGTGTGAACATAATGTTCTTCTTATTTCTGAGCTAGTCAAACATGTTAAGATTTTGATGTATTAATGATTATACTGATAAACAAGATTATGTTGGAAAAATGCATCATATCACTGTTAAGCCTTCTCCTGAGAGCTATTTATAAGGCGACAGCGACGTTTGTTTCTAAAAATAGAATATCTAAAAATGAATTGTACACTTTACTAAATTACATATAGAGAGCAGACCGGTAGACTAGAGCCAATTTAGAGGGACTATTTAGATTTATCGAGGGGTTTGCAAATTGTTGATGTATTTTAACGATGGCAAATTTTTCTTGCCTAATTCTATTGATTTGACAATTATATGAAACGATTTGAGCCGCGTCACAACAAAACCAACATAATGGGTTTGCGACAAGCATGGATCCGCGCAGTCTGATCAGGATCCATGCTGTTCGCTTACAAACTCTTGAACACGTAGAGAATCTGATAGCGAACAGCATGGATCCTGATCAGACTGCGAGGATGCGCAGGCTGGTCTTGATCCATGCTGGTCGCAAACGCACTATGTTTGTTTTGTCGTGACGCGGCTATTTTATCTTAGAAAACCTGAAGGCCACTTTAAGTAAGTTTTGTTACACCGATTTTATGGTTGAATTATAAATCTCTTTTATCATGATGTAATTTCAGTAAGTGGAAACATCCAGAATCAATTAAGATATTTTGAAACTCTGAAGACAACAGACTTTACACACAGGGTCAAAAGGTCATTAGATCCCAATCCTCACAGTTCGGCACACATTACAGAGGTGACAGTCAACACCCTCGGAAGGTAATTTATCTTTGAAAATTAACATACATATACCATAAAACATTGATCAACATTTAATTTATTTTTAAAGAGAAGATTTCATGCATTTAAAGGAGCTCTTATGTCCAAAAGCCTTAAATCATATTTTAATTCTTACACAATTCAACTGGGTTGAAAAAAACATGAAAGATTTTAAATTGAGATGTCATTGATTTAGTGCCTAGCACATTGATGATGTATATATATCGGATGACTTATATTGATACACATATTAATATATACCAACATATGACCGATAATTACGGGTCTGTAATTCATTTTCATACATGTGTGAATGATTTCAGTAAAAACATATGCTGTTCATACAATTATGAATTTTCTTCATGCTTCTTTTTTGACCATATTTTGTCATCACTGCTATGAAATGTGTTGGTTATGTAACAACTGTATAATGTAAGACATGGACACCTGCTTTTGAATAAGTTTATGTTTTTTCGTAATTATTATGCCCCCGCCATGTAATGGCCGGGGCATATAGTGTTACCCTGTTCCGTCCTTCCGTCATTCCATCATTCCGTCATTCTGTCATTCCGTCATCATTAGTTTCCGTTCATTATCTTAGTAATGGTTGCACACATTCAACTCAAATTTGATATATGGATATGTCATGAGAAAATACAGGTCAAGTTCGAATTTGGTCATGGTTCGATGATTTTTGGCAGAGTTATGCCCCTTTTACTTTAAAATAATATGAAATTTTCAGTTTCCGTTCACTATCTCCCCAACGGTACAACCCATTCAACTCAAACTTGACATATGGATATTTCATGATAAAATACAGGTCAAGTTCGAATTTGGTCATAGTTCGATGATTTTTGGCAGAGTTATGTCCCTTTTACTTTGAAAATAATATGAAATTTTCAGTTTCCGTTCATTATCTCCCCAACGGTACTACACATTCAACTCAAATTTGACATATGGATATGTCATGATAAAATACAGGTCAAGTTCGAATTTGGTCATAGTTCGATGATTTTTGGCAGAGTTATGCCCCTTTTACTTTAAAATAATATGAAATTTTCAGTTTCCGTTCATTATCTCCCCAAGGGTACAACACATTCAACTCAATCTTGACATATGGATATGTCAAAGAAATGCGCAGGTCAAGTTCAAATTTGGTCATGGTTCAATGATTTTTGACAGAGTTATGCACCTTTCACTTTGAAAATAATATGAAATTTTCAGTTTCTGTTTATTATCTCCCCAAGGGTACAACACATTCAACTCAAATTTGACATATAGATATGTTTTTGGAATGCCCAGGCCAAGTTCGAATTTGGTCATGGTTCAATGATATTTGGCAGAGTAAAGCCCCTTTCACTTTGAAAATAATATGAAATTGACAGTTTCTGTTCATTATCTACCCAACAGTGTTACATATTCAACTCAAATTTGCAGTTTAAGTTTGAATTTGGTCGTGGTTCAATGAATTTGGACAAACTTATCTTTCTTGAATGTTGGAAAAATTTTGAACTTTCAGTTTCAGCACTCATACTTTTGTGGAAATGTATGTAGCCATTATTTTGGCTACAAATATGAAATATGCTATTTTCAAAAGGTTAAGACTGAATAATTTCAGTGCCTTGAACATTGTATGGAAATGGTTTGTGTTAACATTGAAAAGTTTTAAGGGCTTTGAACTTAAAATGAAAAAAATAATTTGTGCAAACAAATTTGGAACTAAATATTATAACATCTGAAATTTTGGCTGCATGCGGGGGCATCCGTGGCATGATGACACATTTCTAGTTTGTAGACATTTAATTATTTTATCAAAATTATAAAAAAAATTCAAATGTGTATTGATTACTGATCAACAGAAAAGTATCAACAATTCATCAATATCATTTCTTCTACTGACATCTCTAAAGATAAAGGAATATATTAAATTGAAAATTGCTAAATTAGCTAATCACTGTTAGTTTTAGCAATACAATTAAAAAGGGTAAAGGTTAGTCTGAAGTATATGTATTATATTTCTATTGTTTCAGACAGTTTCATCTATACCTTAAGCCATCAAACATCCTGTCTTACGGGTTTAAGGCTTCAATTGTCCGAGGTAATGGCAAGTCAGAACCTTTCTATTTAAACGGAGGATCACTTTTCACTGGAAATGTTGCAGGTAAATTATTAACAATGTTTACATAATATTGCCTAGACAATAAAGAGATAGTCTCCTAAGAATTACTGAACAAATAATTACTTGCATTCCCTGATTAATAAATAATTCAAGAGCAAAAGTTGATAACATAGATAAGACTCAAGTCAATACTTCATAAATTATTATTATTCAATAATTGGAAAACTTTTAACCTTTGAGACAAGGCAGTAAAAACAGGGCAATGTTGCTTTTTTGTAAGGCAAGGTAATGTTGTTTAATTTAAAGGCACGGTATTGTTGATTTATTTTAAGGCAGGGCATTATTGCTTAATAATAAAGCAGTCAGTAATTGTTGCTAAATTACATGTTGATTGCAGGGCAATATTGCCTAATTCCCAAGCAGGGCAATGTTGCTTTATTGTAATGTAGAGCATTTTTGCTTAATTTTATAGCAGGGCATTGTTGCTTTACTTTAAGACAGAGCCATGAAGCTTTATTGCATTGTTGCAGGAAATGACATAACTATATAGTAGGTGGAATTTTTCTCAAGGCCAAAACTTTTTCCAAATGCCTTTAAAATGGAAATTTATGAATGTTATACATGTAGCTATGTACAAGCATAAAAGTGTTAGTTTGTACAAAATTTATATTAGATTAACATGGCCGAGTGGTTAAGGTCTTGACTTCAAACCACTTGCCCCTCACCGCTGCGAGTTCGAATCCAGACGGGGACTTTGGATTCTTTCATGTGAGGAAGCTATCCAGCTAGCTTACGGAACGTGGATGGTTCTACTCAGGTGCCCATTCGTGTCTGAAATAAAGCACGGAAGGACACCTGAGGTCTTCCTCCACCAGTAAAGCTGGAATATCGCCATATGACCTATACTTTGTCGGTGTAACGTAAAACCCAATCAAACAAACAAACAAAAATATTAGTTTGATTGTGTTGGATGCTATAATTTTATTGAAACACTCTCGAAATCTGTTCCTGGAACTAACCAGTACGAAGCAATAAGTGTAATCTTTCCTGCTCACGAAAAAAAAGGCTTGTCCTTGATGGGGTTTGAACCCACACAGTCAACAAATCTTAGATAACTATTCTGATGGGTTAACCGCTTGGCCATGTCACTACTGTTTTTGAATCTAGTATGGTCCCAAGCAAGGATTAGGAGATCTTTATACAGATAGATACACTTCTTTTGCTTCATCTTGAATTATAAGTCTTATATAAAAGACTTCAAAATAAAAATAAAAAAAATGTTACGCTCCATTTAGCGTATTAACATTACGTCATTTGTTACTCTATTCATGTAAATGTTGATTTTTCTGAAGAAAAAAATATGTCACAAGCTGAAGAAAAGTGTTTGTTTTTATTGAACTGATTATATGCAAGACTCCAGGATTAAATATATTGTGTCTCTTGTCTATTATACAGATGATGAAAGTGCTATAGCAAATGTGAATTATGATGAGAACGGAGCAATTCTTGCCAACATCGTTACTAAAGATGATACGTATGTTATTGAGGTAACGTATATTAGATGTTTTAACCCTTTTGTTTTTGGTTCATTTTGGAATCACTCTGATGCTGCAAATGGTTATACAGTGACTTTCAATCTTTATTCCTGGAGGAAGACCCCAGATATCTCTCTGTCTGTGTATTATTTCAGGCCTAAGCAGGTTCCATGTGTAGAACCACTAACCCTTGGTAGCCTAGCTTGGAAACTGTCCCACTATTCCTTACAGTATGGGCTAAAAGTGATTTTTGCAGTTTTTGTTTTGTTAAGGTAGTTCTTGTGCCACCAACATGGAGAATAACAGTTACACACTATGTTAGCCATTATGCCACTTGTTGTTAGGAAATCTTGCCATTACTTAAAAATTCAGCTTTTAGACTTAATGCAATTTAAAGTCCCCTCTGGTATTTGTATACACATTATAGACGATTACTTAACTATGATTTGTTTAGGGTTACAGTATAAATTGCAGCAGATATTTGTTTTATTGCTAGCATATATAAATCCCAGTGCTTGGTATTTCATGAATAAATGTCTCAGAAAACGTTGTTAAGAAATGCTAAATGTGCTATACAAAAGCTTTTGAATATCTTATGAATAGCAAAATATAGGTCAGAGAATTAATTACTGTAAGAATAAATGCATGTAGATTTCTTGTTAGGCAGGACACCACTAAATCAATACATCAATTACCAAGAGGCTGTTTAATAATGGTAATCAATACACTCATCATCAAGAATCTAGTTGTAATAATTTGATTGCATCAGTACACACATTGATCCATGTTGGTCAATAATTTAATCTGATTTCACTTTTGGATTTCTTGTTTATACTTTATACATGTATATTTGTATTTTCTGATCGCAAGATCAGTAAATACATAGCTAACATCCACGGTCTAACACAAAATTTCCTTACAGACCTAACAACGCAATGTAGTTCTCACTAAGAACTGCTTAAAAACCAGCAATTTAAAAGAAAGAATAATTTTTAATGTAGGCATTTAACAAATTACAGTGCATTAAACGTTTAGAGTAGTCAATAGAAATATGAGGTTACAATCACAAATTTCGCGGATGAATATCTTTTTTACCAAATGAAAAATGTTCGGCTATTTCCGTAAAGCTTAATCAATGAAAATGCTATTTTTAGCTATGTCGATTACCGAATACTCCAGAGCGTAGTACACAAATAAATCTGACTGTCGAGTAGTGGAATATACATGTCGTACTGTTTTGTCGAGAAGATTTTCGCTAAATTATTTTCATCAGTGTTAAACAACAGGTTTATCGTGAACAAAATACCTCGAAATTAGTAAGGATTACAAACACGAAATGGAAATTCTCAAATTAGAATTACAATGTATTTGTTTTTATTCAAGCTACATATGTAATACTTCACCGTGGTGCAGAGGTAGCGCGCTCGTTTAGGGTATGAGAGTCCAAAGGTTCAAATCCTAGTCGAGGCAACTTTTTTTTGTGTGTCTTTTTTTAGGAAGTAGCCACGATATGCAAGGATAAAGTGTGGCTGTCATTTTTTGATGCAACTCTAGTCATGCAAAATTCCTTATGTATCAATCTCAAACTGTTATAGATGCAGTTGTTGCGTAAGATTAATTATAGTATATAAAAATAAACTTATACAGGAAAATACATACAGATAGTCAGTATGATTTAGATTGCAAAGATCAGAAAATACCACAGAGGTTGCAGCCCTTTGATTTTTCATTGATTGGTACAATGTTCCTGAGACTTTCTAGTTCGCAACAGTAAATTTTATGAACTGGTCAAGGTCTGTAAGTCTAGTATTGACTTTACTGAATTATCCCCCTTTGCGTAAATTCCAATAATAACAATATGTAATGTTCTTGCTTCTGTTTTACCACAAAACAATGACCAAACACTGGAAATAGAATTAGGTGCAATAGCAACTTGTATAAATTTTTATAAATCTGCATTCTTTTTCAAAATAAAAGCATTATGTGCACAATAAAAAATAAACAACTCTTACTCACTATCCTTTTTAAGAATGTTTACCACCACATTCAACATTTTTTTGTATCATTATTTATATTCAGAAGTGTTATTGTTTATATTTTACAGCCATCCTGGAGATTATTGCCAGAATCTGATAACCACACAATGGTGTCATATAGAAAATCTGACATGAAATTTGAATATGCTGATAATGGACAACACATGTAAGTTCTTTCCACTTAAAAGATATTAGATAATGTGTAATTGAGTAAATATCGGATCATGATGGATTATTAATACAAATAACATATCATACAGGATTGTTGTACAAATATTGGATCTCTAGCATTATTGATACAAATATTGGATCTCTAGCATTATTGATACAAATATTGGATCATGCAGAATTATTGATACAAATATTGGATCTTGCAGAATTATCGACGTGATTATTGGATCATACAGAATTATTAATACAAATATCAGATCATTCTGAATTATTGACACAATTATTGGATCATACAAAATTAATGACATGATTATTGGATCATGCAGAAGTATTAACATGATTATTGGATCATGCAGAAGTATTAACATGATTATTGGATCATGCAGAAGTATTAACATGATTATTGGATCATGCATATTTATTGATACAAATATTAAATCATGCAGAATTATTGATACAATTATTGGATCATACAAATATCAGATCTTATCTTATAAATCACGGTGCAGGAGTGTAATAAAGCCATTTAATAAAAATGATATTACACTAGTGTAATAACACTTTGACATGACATCATTTGCGTTATATATGAACATAAGCGCCCTAATGTTAGCGTTACACTATAGGCGCATAATTGAAAAGTACTCTTTTTAACAGTTAACCTTTCTTATCATATATATAGAATACAATATTTAAGTAGATTCAATTCTTAATTTGTTGAACTCATTGAATAAAACAATATTATGTTTGCAAGAGGCTCCCATAATATTGGACTCGTTGAATAAAAGCAAGAGGCTCTCTTAATATGATTTTATTCAACTTGTTCAATAAATTTAGTATTAAACCTACACTTATTGAATATTCTCATATACAGAAGTTATATTTTCTTATTGAATTATGTACACATGTATTTAATTATGCAGAAATGATAACACACATATTAATTTATATTTATTTGATTGGTACACAGAGTTTAATGTTTTTCAGACATCCTGTATGTGGCATTAAAGAAGGGAATGAGGACGATGAGTTACATGGTAGAGTAGAAGTGGAACAACATGGTAAATAATTGAATCACAATATGAAAAATAGGACCAAAGTAGGAAAAATAGGGTCAAAGGAAAAACTATTGGGTTAAAATTAAAAATTTGAGGTCACCTTAGTTAACTGAATTTAAAATGGAATAGTTAATTTATCCTCTAAAAATTTTCAGCTCCTAAATTCTTTGACTGTTTTTTTGTGTAAGACATTGAGTTTAAACTAATGATAAATGTTTGCTTTTGAAAATGCTTATATATAGCAGGGTCAATATTCTTCTTATTTTCTTTGTTTACAAAAAAATATATATTTTTGTTGTTACAATACTTAGTGATGTTAATTTGATGCAACCATGATCAAAGTAAAAATCTGATTTAACAGACTGTTTTGTTTAGCCTTTGATACACGAGGGTCGAATGTTTATGCATATTTAAACCTCATTATCATCATGTTTTCTAATTATAGAATCTCACAGATACAAGCGCGAGACGTCACCATATCTTGCCGAGAGAACAACTTGCCAGTTGATGGTCGTTGCTGACTACATGTTCTACAGACATATGGGAGGATCTTCAGCTAGAGCCACCGCCCTTTATCTAGTATGTTATATCAATCCCTAGTTTTTAGCTCAACTATTCCAAGAATAGAGAGAGCTATTGTACTTACCTAGGCGTTGGTGCCGGCATTATTCTTTGTTTATGTTTTTTCATGCAAATTGGTATCTCCAAAACTACTGAAGGAATTTGGTTGAAACTTGACATACTTATTTTGGAGCATAATAGGAGGTCTCTATCCAAGGCCCATAACTCTAACTTAGATATTGACATAATCATCGCCCTTTTTATACTTAGATTTTTTCATTATCAAGGCTCTTGTTATAGTATCAAGAGATTTTTTCATTATCAAGGCTCTTGTTAAAGTATCAAGTATCTATGCTCTTTTTTTACTTTCAAATGGTGGAGCACGCTGTCCTATTGACAGCTCTTGTCCAGTGTAAACCCCTCTTTGCCTACAGTGGCTGCAAAGAATTATAGCTGGGAATTTTCCTAAAATATGATGGTTTTCCAGATTAAAAATTGGACAAGTCCATTGTAGTTAGCTTAGCATGAATAGGTTAAATAGCGTTCTACCACCGGATGAGCGAACAAATTTTCGAAGAAAGAATAACACTTAGTCAGTAGAGAGAAATGTATCATTTGTGTACAGAATGTAAATATTCAAGTGACATTTTTGTATGCTGTGGCAAAATGTGACATAATAACTATTAATAGACACCTGATTTGGGGCACTGTCCTATTGTTGTTAGGCTATTTCAATTGTAAGTTACTGGTAAGGTAATTTTTAATTGTGGGTATTTAAGGGGACTCTTTAAGGGCCTTATGTTTACTCCCTCCTTCAGGGTAAAATTTTCGGTAATACAACAAATATTGTATTTTATTTGTTTTCAGATTAACGTGATACAGTTTGTGAACACAATTTATCGCCACACACAGTTTGACCAGTCCTCTAATTCTATGATAGGCGTAGGGTTTGAGATTGGAGAGGTAGGAATTTATTTTTATTGAGGTACAACATTCTGTGGATGGAGCTGTTACTTAAATTCTTGATACATGAAGTTATTGATGCGTAAGGAACAGCATATTCTGTTTGCCCAGTTGCCAATTTAAAAGGTGTGAAAGTCATTAAATACCAACAAAGCAGTGCTTCGTGAATAAGGGTCATTTAAAACACACAATTTGCTTCTCATCTCTGAAGGTTCCAGCAACGCCAGCATCTTTGGATTCTTTCATGTTAGAAAGATATCCAGCTAACTTACAGAACGTTGATGGTTCTACTCAGGAGCCTGTTTGTGCCCAAAATATAGTACACAAGGGCACCTGAATTCTTCCTCCACCAGTTAAGCTGGAATGTTGACATATGATCTATACAGTGTTTGTGTGAAGTAACACACAAACAAACAAACAAAAACACACACACACACAACAGGGATTTATTTAAATTAGTCCATTTATACATTGGGCCAACTGTAACTAAATCAGGGACAAAGAGTCATAGAATTCAAGGGTGTGCTCAAATAGTGTCAACCATAAATTATGATTTTATTTCTGCACCATATGTAAAGGTTATTATGTGCTTTCTATTTATAGTTCTTTTTGTGTCGCCTCTTACGGAGTAGTGGCAACATATAGGGATCAACTTACACATTCCGTCGTCTGTCTGTCCGTCTGTCTGTCTGTCCGCACTCAAACAGGAGAGTAATTATGTGCTATAAAGGGACAATGGGTAATGTTTTTCTCTTTGATGTCATTAATTTCCGTAATGGCTTTTTATGTGGCTATTTTTTTTTGGTCTGTTGGCTAAAAAGAACAATTAGAGAAAACGCATGGAGTGCCACATAATTAGTCGCTGTGAGAACGTCCGTCGTCTGGTTCCGTCCATCCGTCACAAAACTTGTCCGGGACTACTCCGAGCGCGCCGTAATAAAACTTACTGGTTTGGCAATTGTCATCAAACTTTACAGGGAAGATCAGCACCAAGGTCTAGTTGTGCATATTGTAGCATTTTCCCGGTTCAAATGATTTTTGAAGAGTTAAATGGGCCCTTTAATAATTTTTATTTTTAAAGTTTGGTTTCGCGGATATACTTCTCTTAACCACTAAATGCAATTTCAATGAAACTTTAACGGGATTGATTGTTAGCTCAAGTCCCTTGCGCATAAATTGCACGGGTTTTTCCGAGTTGAATGATTTTTGGCCGAGTTATGGCCCTTTTTTGATAAAAAAGGTGTTTTTTTCTGTGTGTTTTGCCGAATACAAAAAGTTGTTTCCGAACTACTTCATAAAACTACTGGTGGGCAATTTATCCCAAAATTTTACAGGGAATGATCAGTACAATAAGTCTTGTTTTGGCATTTTGTCAGATTTTCCCGGTTCAAATATTTTTGGTCAGAAGTTTATGGGGTTTTAAATAATTTTTTTTTTTTAAAGTTTTGTCCCGGACTCTTCTCTTTTATCACTAATGCAATTTCAAATGAAAATTTTCGGATTGATCTGTAGTGAAGTCCTTGCGCATATATGCAGGGGGGGGTTTTCCGGTTGAATGAATTTTTTGGCCGGGTTTATGTCCTTTTGATTTAAAAAGGTGTTTTTTTTCTGTGTGTTGCCAGAGATAACGCAAAAGCTTGTCCGGAGCTATCTCATAAACTACTGGTGCAGAATTTTATCGCAAATTTACATGAATGAATAGTCGTCCTAGTTGTGCATGTCCGTTCTGTTGTCCGTGGTCCGTATCCGTCCAAAATTTGTCCCCAAATGGGAAATTGGGCATTAAATGAGGCGAACATGTGATTTATGGGATCGCTCTTTGTGTTTTTCTATAAAGAAGACTTTAAGAATTTTTTATTTTCTATTTATAGGATGAGGATACATAAATGAGTCTTTTCAGTGATACAAAATTACAAAGGGAAGTAATCCTTAACAACATAGAGAGAGGGAAGTGGGACAAAAAGATTTTTCTAGGAGGTTATTTAGATAGAATAAAAAATTTTAATATATGAAAAGTTATTTTTAAGTCAAATTTACGTTAAAAAAAAATTGAATTTTGAATAAGAATGTAGATACAAGGTTTTAAACTCCCTAACGATTGAGCAAGTTATTCTTTTTTATGTCACAAAAATTTCTAGCTAGCTTAATGAAGTTTTTGAGTTTCATGTGTCCCCTCTTGCTTGAGTTTTTACAAAATTTTTTTTCAGAGACCAGGTGTGTTTTAGACACACTAAAATCTGAAAAATGTGAAATGTTATTTTGATGCCCGGAGGTGGGTTTGCTATACTGCCAATATGAGCACGGACAGCTAAAATTGTTCCAGCAGTTCTGACAAAAGACTCAAACTGATTAAAATTTAAACTCCCAAATAATGCTACAAATTGAATCTGAATCCAAACCCTAGTCATTTGTGTGCTTTCAATTTAAACCTTTATTTTAAAGCCCTTTTATTATTTTTTACGCCCCATGCCCTTTCTAAATTTTTAACCCCAAAAAAATATGAGTAGGTAATTTTTGATTTCCCGGAAAAAATTGTCTTGTCCTTAGCCCACGGGGAAAATGGCCGTATTAGCCATTAAAAAATGACATCTTTTTTTGGGTTAAAAATTACACAAATTAAAAAATGTGCTTTCTCGGGAAACGAAATTTTAAAGAAAACCTACATTAAAGGGGGCTTTGGGTTAAAGGAAAAAATAAATGACCTGAACTTAAAAAGATTTACAGCATTTTAAAGTTTGCTTTATTTTACAGTTTAAATTTAATTTATTTCCACGGATTTATTTTTACAAATTTCTTTTGGAATATGTTTGGAAAAATTTTTTACTATGCGTTTGCGATTGGGGTTTTTGGGGTTTTGGATTATTGCCTCTGAAAGAAAGGGCCCGCAGTTTTGGGGGTATTTGCTCAAAAAGTAGATTTTTTTTTTTTTTAATTGTTAAATTTAGTATAGTATTTAAAAATTTTTTGTCTAAAGGCCCTTGAGTTTTTACTTTAAATAATTAAACCCGAAAAATTTTGGGAAATTTTTGTTCAATGTCTGTTGAAAAAAATGAAAATTTTATTTTTGGAAAAAAATTTTTCCTGATTTTAAAAAATCGAAGTGTTTCCGGCCCGTACCAGCGCCATTTTAAAATTCATAGGGGGCACCCCAAATTTTTTGTCCCCATTAACACCGTTTTGGTGTTCAACGAAAGTTTTAAAAATGGTTCAGTAAGTTTAAATTTCATAATTATAAAACTAATATTGTTTTTTACAAAAAATTTTTTT